AGACCCCCGGGACTCCCACTGCTCCCACTCCAACCCCCCCCTCGCTCCCTCGACTTGCCCCCTCCACGAGACCCCCCCCGCCTGGGATCCCACCCCCATCTAACCCACCCTACTCCCTATCCCCTGACTCCCCCCACCCCTTATCCAACCCCCCTGGCCCCGGACTCCTTACCATGGCATGAGATGAGGCTCCTAGCCTCCCCGCGGAGCCAAACACTGCCCCGCGGGAGCGCGTGCAGCCCCGGCCCCCAGAGCACTGCACGCGGCGGCAGGGCTCCAGGAGAGGGGGGAGGGTGTCTGCCTCCCCATGGAGCCAAATCCTGCCCCACGGGAGCGTGCAGGACTCATGGGGAGGGAGAAAGGCGGGGGAGGGGTCGGCAGCTTGCTGCGCTCGGCCGGGCGCTCCGGCCGGGGAGCGCAGATCCCGCGGCTTGCCGCGCCTGGAGAGGGGGGGGGCATTTGCCCACCCCTGCATTAGGGTGTGCCCAGGCACACCCCGTGCGCACGCTTATGGGCTTGAAGATGACCTGGTGAGGGTGGACCATGCACACTATATCTCAAGAAAAAAAAATCCAGTGCAAGAAGGATAAAGATGAAAGCACAATAATTGTTAAACTGTGAGGCCTGTGCAACAAAGAGTAAATTTTAAAATGGGGAGGAAAAAGACAATGTAAAAGGCATATAAAGTCCTGAGCCTGTGACCTGCAGTATCAACAAGCTCTGGTCCCAGGGAAGTGAACAGAGAGAAGGGTGATGGCCTTGGGCAGAATGTTTGTCCCACTGAAGTCAAAGGGAGTTTTGCCATTGACTTCAGTGGAGCCAGCATTTCACGCCTGGCGATTAAATCAAGGAACTTAGAGAAAGGAGCGCGGAACTCTATTGCTGGATCAGCCATAGCCTCATTGTGTGATCTTGGGCAAGACACTTAGGCCAAATTTTTCAAAATATGTCCACCAAATTTTGGTGCCCTCCATTTTGAGGTGCACCTAGAATCTGTCTGAGAACCTGTTTTACATTGACTTCAATGGGGATAATAATACCTCCTCCCAGGAAGTCTGTGAGGCTGAATGTGCCAATATTTGTAAAGCACTCTGGGGTATTTAAACAGAGGTGCAGAGTATTATTTTTTTATTTATGGCAAGCATCTGTTGGGGGTACCCTCAGGCATACTGCAGGGCATATATAGCAACCGTACTATGTCAGGAGCACCAGAAGGCTTCATCAGTGAGCATTTCTCCTGGGGAATCTTGCTGCCAGCACACCTGACCACTTACCTTTACCCCATGGAGAAGAAGCAGCTTGTGCCTCATTCCATGTCCAGCCAGATTTGCTGGCTACTGGGGATGTGGGCCTGTTCTATGATCCCTGTGATAAATGAGAAGAGGGATAGCTCCCTTTTGTGGACACCCAGCCAGCCAGTTAGCTATAGAATCCCTCTTGGTAGCTGTTCTCTACCTGCTTTACCTGTAACGGGTTAAAGTCTGACTGCATGCGTAGGTAAAGGGAAGTGAGTGGGCACCTGACCAAAAGAGCCAATGGGGGGGTTAGAACTTTTTAAAATTGGGAAAAAACTTCCCTTTGTCTGTATGTTGTGGTTCTCTGGGAAAGAGGGGAACAGGGCAGCAGTTATGTTGTGAGAAGCTGAAGGCCAGGTATGAAAATCATCAGAATCAGACCTAGAATTGCTTATTTGGAACCCGAATATGTAAGTAGATCAGAAAATGTGTAGGTAAGACACAATTAGGTTTATTTTGTTTATTTCTTATGGCTTGTGGATTCCTCTGTGCTAACCCCAGATGCTTTTGTTGCTTGTAACCTTTAAGCTGAACCCCCAGAAACTATTTTGGGTGCTTAATTTTTGGAATTGCTCTTTTAAAAATCTAGCAAGTCTTTTTATTTTTAATAAAATTTACCTTTTTTAAGAACAGGATTTGGATTTTTGTGTCTTAAGAAGTTTGTGCACAAGTTTTTTAGTTAGCTGGTGGCAACAGCTGATTTCTTTTCCTTTCTTAGCTCTTCCCTGGAGGGGTGTGTGTGTGAAAGGGCTTGAGGGTACCCCACAGGAAGGAAATCCCAACTGCACCTTCCTGGGTTCCAAGGGGTTTTGCATTTGGATGGCAGCATCTACCCATCCAAGGTCAGAGAGAGGCTGTGACCTTGGGAGTGTAATACCAGCCTGGAGTGGCCAGTATTAGTTTTTAGATTCCTTGCGGGCCCCCACCTTCTGCACTGGAAGTGCCAGAGTGGGGTATCAGCCTTGACAGTCCCACTTCTGCTTCTCCACCTTTCCTATAGCAGACGTTTGTAGGAGTATTAGTCAGGAACGTGGACTATACCACCTATTAGAGTTCTGAACAGGTCCTATAGAGAAGGACGAACGATTGGGAAGGGCACCCCCAGCACACACACAAATACGCATGCCTTGTGCACCCCTCTGGGGTCTGCACAGAATCTGGCCCTCACAGAGCGTTCCCTTAAGTAGAAACTGATAGCTCATACCCTGCAAAGCTCAGAGTGAAATAAAAGGATAAACTGTACATTTTCTGAGAGCAAGAGTAGGCTCAACATTTGTTAGACAAAATACAGTTAAATGCCCCAGGGGATCTGTACTTTGAATCAGATAAGTGGTGGTAAATTTGCTTTTATATTATATAATCTTATTGGATACTAGTGTAATTCTCTCTTCAACACAAATATCACTAATATGCTGGTTAACTGTAATATATGTGGTATGATAACAGCTGGATGGAGGGAAATGTTGATTTTGCCAGCTGAAAGCTTTGTGACTTCACTAATATTGGTATGTTAATAAAAATCTGAGGCTTTTCCTATCTAAGTTATTGAGCCATATTTTTAAAGGGACCTCAATACAGTCCCCACCTTTTTTTCAGGTTCAATTTTGCACCTTTAAATGAATAATGGGCAGCAAATGGGAGCATTAACATGTCTTTTTGGGGGTGCAATACGGTAGTTAAAGGTCTCACTACAGCACTTCCTTTCCAGGCCCATTAGCTCAGTTAGAGCGTAGGATCTTTCAGATGTCTTGTCACATAGACTCTTAGTGATTTTAATTGATTTTTATTTAATTGATTCCATGCCCCACATCTGGGATCTCAGTAGTGTTTGCTATTACCCAATTGAACATAAAGAGCTGCTGACTATTTTTCATCCCCATTATATCTGTTACTTTTGTTTAAATTATATTTTAAAGGATGATTTTTGTTTAATTTCTTCTTAAATCGCGTAATATCATTCTATTTTAGATACACACTCCAAAATGCTGAGTACAGCATTCATGTTTACCCAGTGGTGACCCAGTGTCAGGATGTTGCTAAGGTACAATGACTTCAATGATCTTAACATTGAACTTTTTTGACAATGCTAACAAATGCGTTTCCTTGGCATTGAGTCAGAATCTCATAGAAGCTAAATTCAACAGCATTTAGCACAAAGAATTCTCAACCACTAGCACAAATGAGTTAACAGCTCTGTCAGGAAAAGTCATACTGTATGTTGACCATAAAATACCAAATTATAGAATTATGCCTTGCCTCATCAAGGAAAAATGAATAAATAACACAAAAATGTCAATAAAAAAGACACTCAGTCTGTAAGCGAAGTAATATTTCTTATAAAACTACACAGTACATGTTTTTAAAAGTGTCCAGAACTTTTGCCATATAAAATGCTGGCCTGATGATTGTCACTGACTAATAATGACCAATTACAGCAAATCTGGGCCAAAAGTTGGGTCCCTACCTGTGCTAATGTGTGCCTGTGTTCTGGCCTGCAGAAACCTCATGCGAAGACCTCCCCAACTGTTCCACCAGAACAGATTATTCCTGTCAGGAGAATGACTAATCTATACAGCACATTTTATGTGCATAAAATGAGGTAAGACTCTTTCTTCTAGAATGTCTGAGAGAGACTCATCAGTGCTCTTCAGCAGAATTTGACCCTGAGATCTTCAGCCAGAAATTTTACAAACGTGAACCACTTGAGCTAAAGGAATACTCCACTAGCTGGGAGCACTAGCTGGCTGCTTTCCTCTATGTGGAGTAGTCACTAGAGGGGATGACACACACTTTGCAATATATTACACATTCTCTTCCCTGGGTTTGTGGGGGAATCAGAATTGGGGTGGACAAATGTTGCCCCACTTCATCAAGATACTTAAACAGGTGTATAACGTGAAGAATGCGAGTAGTATTCATGTGCTCAAAGTTATGCACATGCTTAAGTGCCCCCCTGAATCGGGATGTTACTTCTCATGCAGTGTGCAGATTGTCCCAATGATCTGTTGAAATATGTGCCCTGCTTTACGACTGACTTATGACCATAATCTGAATTGTCATGGGTTGCCACCTCACAAGTCGAATTATGATGAACCGTATAGGGAATTTTTCTCCTTCTTGGCCTTAACATTTTTGGAGGTATTTTAGTATGTCACTATGAACAGGAATTAAAACTTCACAAACAAGGGGACATTTTAAAAAAGATCATGGCAAGGGTAGTAATTTGACAAACTAGGACGCTGGTGTGTGGAGCCTGTTGCTTTGAAGGAGGCATTTTAACTCCCAACACTGCCATTGCTGGGCAGGATTTGTAATTGTTGTAGAGGTTTCCTGGTCCTGGTGTGTAAGAGAAAAAGGTCATTCTTCGGCATAGGTGCCCCAAGGGCAGAATAGAATAATCTGGAGAAATGGCTTTATTGCAACTAAGCGCACTAGTCACTGGAATAACAGTTGACAATGTCAAGGCTGTTATATGTGGAGAGCTCCAGTGATATAGATTCAGGTCCTGACTTCTGACTAGCAGGAACTAATGTGGGAGTCTCTTTTTCTCTCTGACAGAATTAATATATAGTCGTTTGAAAATATATATACTACATACAGAGAGAGATCACAGAAAAAAAACAGGAAGAGAGTAAATTAAATTTAGTCTTTTGCTTCGGCTGCATATTCTGAAAGCAAGAATAATTGCAGTGCACATTTCTGGAAATGCAGAAAGCCATGGCTATGAAATAATTATTTAAAAGTTTGCAGTTTGCATTGTAGTTTCCTTTCAGAATGGAATGCTACATTTAGGAGTCATGAAAGAAAAAAGCATATCGGATAAAATGCCAGATGTTTTTAAGCAAAAATAGTATTTATTTCACTATCAATTTCCAGATTATAACTTACTCACTGATAGGTTGATTGCCATTGGATTTAAAAAAAAAAACTTACTCAGTAAATAAAAGGTTATGGCAGCCTTTAAAAGAAAGCATTAATGTATTCAAGTAAATCTATTTTTATTGCGTTTATGTCACGCATTTGTATAAAGGTCATCTATACTGGGGAATCAAAATGTTGCACCTACTCTCTTGTCAAACATAGTAGTTTTTGAGGCTGACAGATTATTCTATTACCTAAATCTTGTATCCATTTGGCATTAAACAAGAAATCCAATTTTTTGACAAAGCATTCAAATATATCCTCTATCTAGCAGAATGCATGCATTGCTATTCTGGTACTATTGTTCTACCACTGAAAGCAGTCGTCCTCAAGTTGAATGGATGAGCTTATTTTAAAGTGACTAGTTCATCTAAAAGGCCATATGCTCTGAAAGTTTCTATTTCTTTTTCTAGGGAAAGCCAGAGCCAATTTTTATTTCCTATGAACATACGGGGGAGAGGAACTGCCTCAGAAAACACATGGAAGAAAAACACATTAAGTAAAACAAAGCATCATTGAGATGTATATTAATTCACATTCAGAATATCTAATCTTACAGGAAGAATTAGACCAAGTGTCATATTGGAATTACATATTTTTGACCCTTCCCTCTCCCCCCATTATCATTTAGCCTTTTGGTATCATGGCATTGGTGACTGGACAGCAGCTTGTTCTAATTTCCAGAGTGTGTGGAATGGCCTTGATAGTTTCTTTGTGACGGGGTGATGTCATTGGTTAGCCAGCTTCCGCTGCACCCCATACACTACCAAGAAGTTCCTCTCTGTATTAGTTATACCTTCACCTGCCAAGAAAAGAAAACACATAGCTTCCTTTCGTCTTCAGTGAAACAAAGTGGTTTAGACACAGTTTGGAGGAGGACTGCCAGAAACAACAAAAAAGGCTTTAACTTAATAACGTTTCCATATAGTTAGGTGCTCCTCTAGAATATATGACTTTAATTGATTTTTACCTTTTTTTATGGAACACAACTGGTGTACTGGAAATTGTTCTTTGGCATATTACCAGAATTTAAAAAGAAAAGATATGAAGTTTATGAAAGCTGGAGCTATTAAATCAATATTTTCCAGTTATTTTTGAGCCCTTCTGCAAATAACCCAATGATCACTATTAAAGAAAAATAAACTTAATTTCATCTGAGGTAAAGCCTTTGTCTATTTTATCTGTGACAGAGATCCTAATAGTAAAACCATTCAATAAAACCCTATTGGATACTGGAGAAGCTGAAGTTAGTGCTGTCATTTTCACATAAAAACATTACTGCATTCGCAACTTTCTTTTGATGACTGAAAATAGATTTTTTTTTAAATTACTGTTTGTTCAAGCCTAGAAAGTTAGATAACATAAGTTTTAAAAAGACATTTTCTTAGAAAAAGATCTTCTGTAGTTTGCAGGTCTAGCTGCTTAAAATTGGTCTTGTCAGTACTGTTGCTAGACAGAAGCTTTTGAAAGATTTTAAAATGACACTAGGCATTTTACAGAAACCTCTATAGGTCTTCTGTTGTGTTTTATTAACTATGTTTTTGCTGTCTGTCGTCTATCTCCAAATTGTGTTTTCTTTGTGCTTTAAAATGTAAAGTCACTTTCCTTTAAAACTAAATTGACTGTCACAGTGTTCCAGTATCCAGTCTACTGAGCTAATTCTTGCAGTTGGGTGGGAAACAATAAAGTAGGAATGCAGGGGAAAATATTTTAAGCAAAACAAAAGGAATTAAGTTAATTTCTCAGATATGGCCTACATTTCCAGATCCACCACAGACACTGCTGTGTAAGTAGTACCACAAGATGTTGTCCTACAAGTATGTTATCTATACTAAGGATATATTTAAGCTAGAGATGGAAGGTACAAATTCTGGCTCAAGGAGACATACTTGCGCCAGCTCTGATAGATTTAGCGTGCTAGAAGTGGAAGTGTAGCCATGAAACCATGTGCCCAGTCAGACAGGATCATATTTGGGGCAGCTAGCCTCTCGCATGGCTACACTTCTGTTTTTAGCATGCTAGTTTGACCAAAGCTAGTATGGGAATGTCTCCTGAAGCTGGAAATTACACCTTCCAGTTCTAGCGACCAACTTCCAGAATAAATCACCATGTAGACAAGTCCTAAAATCCTAATTTTGTGGTGCTGTCAACACATCTTAGCTAGGGTGATCAGACAGCAAATGTGAAAAATCGGGACAGGGGGTGGGGGTAATAGCAGCCTATATAAGAAAAAGACCCAAAAATCAGGACTGTCCCTATAAAATCGGGACATCTGGTCACCCTAATCTTAGCAAATAGGGCCCTGAACCTTTAGACATGTGAGTAGTCCCACTGAAGTCAGTGGGGCTACTCATGGTGCATAAAGTTAAGCATGTGAATAAGTCTTTGTAGGATTTTGAGCTAGATAATTTAAGACCTTAAGAGCTTGTTCAGTTTAAATTGCTGAATATGGCATTTGTTAAACTAGAATGGGAGAAAACATTAAAAATTTATTCTTAGTAGTATTCTTGGGGAAGGAGGGATTCCTGGATTTTAGTGAAATGCTTTTATTTAACTACTATATCAATAACATAATGGATTAAAGCAGATTCAGTGTTACATCAGACACTCCCTAAATGCTGTGTCTTCATATCTCTCTAACGCACTTCTTGATGCTTCTGCACTTCCTGGTAGACACACTGTGTCCACAAGATTTCACTGTACTACATTCTTTTATGGGGACATATTACTCTGAGTTAGGGATAGGTAAAGCTGTTTGAAAAGTCTTGCCTTAGATTAGGGGTGGACTTTCATAAAGTTTGAAAAGTTCAATTACACTTTTTCTTTAAAAAAAAATAAAATACAAAATTGTGCCCTTTCCATTTCTTCGTTCATTGAGTACCAGAAGTGGAAGTATCAAAATACTACTAGAGTTTATTCTTCTAATATTGCAAAAAGAAGAACAGGAGTACTTGTGGCACCTTAGAGACTAACAAATTTATTAGAGCATAAGCTTTTGTGGACTACAGCCCACTTCTTCGGATGCATCTAATGCTCTAATAAATTTGTTAGTCTCTAAGGTGCCACAAGTACTCCTGTTCTTCTTTTTGCAGATACAGACTAACACGGCTGCTACTCTGAAACCTGTCTTCTAATATTGCTCATCTGATGATTATAATGATACTTTGTATTTGTATTGTTCTTTATAGGTTCAGAGTGCTACAAAAATACTAGTAAATTGATCTAATGTGATAACATAATCTGGCCAGATCATGCAAGTTTCAGAATTCTCACAAGAAACTTCTCCTTGGAAGATTTTTAGCCTTATTTTTAGGCCATATTTGAAATGTCCTGTCTTTTATGTATCAGCCAAATTCCTGAAAGTTAATTAATTTTGAATGTTATGTATTTCTAAAGAGCAGAATTTCACTGATACATTATGTTGGTCTATCCTTACCCAACCTATGGCATTTATAGGGTACCAGTCATCCCAGTATCTGTTATGCGCAGTTCATAAAAGACTGACACGAAAGTGCAGATCTGTGTCCATAAATCAGTAAGATTAGAGAGAATTTTTAAGAATTCAGATCACTGATCAGTGTCAAAAGATTGTTTCCACGGAAGTCAATGGCAAAACTTTCACTGATTTCAATGGGAGCAGGATCAGCCCATAAAAGATTAAGGCAAAAGATCTCAAAACGATCCATTAATTTTAAGTGCACACAATTTTGGTTGTGTATCTTGAGACACTAAGGGAATATCTATATTTTTAAAAAATAAAAAAATAAAAACCCACCCATGGAAGTCAGTCTCAAAATACAGATCTACCGACTCATGCTATGGAGCTAAAAATAGCCATGTAGAAATTCCCAATTGGGCTCTGTCTCAAGTTGAATACCAGAAATTAATGGATGCTTTTCAAATGTGGTTATAAAAGTTTATAAATAGAATGAGCTGACACAGCTGAGAAAATTACCTTACCAATAATTTCTTAAATTGCTAGCAAATATTTATCATATTAAATATGCATCCATAAATTACAGGCATGCCTAACTGTGAGCTGTTTCCTTAGAAAGGAAGGTCTGGACTTTTTCACTAACTTGTTTGAAAAAAGTTTTCTATGCAATATGAATACAGATAAACTGTCCCAAGGTTTTTTAACTTTAAATTCTTCTTATCTAAGGGCTAATTTAAAAAATGAGGTTAAAGAACAGTCTCCTGCAAAACTGTGCAGAAAGTTTTCCTTGTAAAAGAGGAAATAAATTCAACAATTATTGCTAGTGAAAATGGAAGAGTTTCCAAAACTAATTAATGTATTTATCATTATGTTTTGGTAATTGTCTAATATCTATTTAGAACATATGCCTAATTACAGGAAAAAAATACACAACACCTTTATTCTGTTTCACTTTATAAATAGGAAAATGTGTTGAGTTTGAATGTCACCAAAGTGTCACAGAGATAATCAGTTAATTACTGTAATATCCCTTGGTCCTTTTAATGGAAAATTTTTGGCTCTTAATACCATACTGATAAGTCGAAGGTAAACCAATGTCATCATAATTATTAATATTTCTGTATACAAATGAGAAGTAACATCTCCTAATACCTGAATGAACTTAGGACATTATCCTTATTTGGTGAAACATAAGAATGGCCATACTGGGTCAAAACAATGAAATATCTAGCTCAATAACCTGTCTCTGACAATGGCCAGTGTTGGACACTTCAGAGGGAATGAACACAACAAGGCAATTATTAAGGCATCCATATCCTGTCGTCCAGTCCCAACTTCTGGCAGTTGGTGGTTTAGGGACACCTGGAGCATGGGGTTGCATCTAGGACCATCTTGGCTAATAGCCATTGATGGACCTATCCTCCAAGAACTTATCTAATTATTTTTTGAAATCTGCTAACTATTAATTTCATCAGATGTCATATGAAGGGGTAAGTAACACTTCCCTATTCACTTTCTATCATATCACCCACTTAGGGCTTCTTTGCACTTACATTTTATAGCGCTCTAACTAGCTGGCTCAGGGGTGTGAAAAATCACCCCCCTGAGCACAGCAAGTCTGAGCACTTTAAAGTGCTAGTGTAGATAGGCTCCGAGTGCTGGGAGCTAATCCCCTCGTGGAGATGGATTACCAGGAACACTGGGAGAGCTCTCTCCCAGTGCTCACACGTGACCACACTCGCACTTCAAAGCGCTGCTGCGGGAGCGTTCCCACAGCAGCTCTTTGAAGTTTCCAGTGTAGACATACCCTTAGTCATTTCTTTTCTAAGATGAACAATCCCAGTCTTTTTAATCTCTCTTTGTTGTTGTCCTTTTCTGCACCTCTTCCAATTCTAATATATGTTTTTGGAGATGGGATTACCAGAACTGCACACAGTACTCAAGGTGTGGGCAGATCATGGATTTATATAATGGTATTATATTTTCTGTTTATTAACTATCCTTTTTCATAATCGTTGCTAACTTTCGGTTAGCTTGTTTTGACTGCTGCTGCACATTGAATAGATGTTTCAGGGAACTATTTACAATGACTCCAAGATTTTTCTGAGTGGTAACAGCTAATTTAGACCTCATCATTTTGTATGTATAGTTGGGATTATTTTTTCCCAATGTGCATTACTTGGCACTTATCAAATTGAATTTCATCTGCCGTTTTGTCATCCCATCACCCAGTTTAGCGAGATCCCTTTGTAATACTTTTCAGTCAGCTTCGGACTTAACTATCTTGCGTAATTGTATGTCGTCTGCAAATTTTGCCACATCATTGTTCACCCCTTTTTCCAAATCATGTATGAATATGTTAAACAGCACAGGACCCAGCACCAATCCTTAGTGGACCCTGCCATTTACCTTTCTCCACTGTGAAAACTGACCATTTATTTCTGCCCGTTGTTCCCTATCTTTTAACCAGTTACTAATCCATTAGAGTACTTTCCCTTTTATCCCAAGACTGCTTAATTTACTTAAGAGCCTTTGGTGAGGGACCTTGTCAAAGGCTTTCTGAAAGTCCAAGTATGCGATATTAACTGGATCACTCTCATCCACATGCATTGACACCCTCAAAGAATTCTAATAGCTTGGTCAGACATGATTTCCATTTAAAAAGTTGTGTTGACTCTTCTCTAACATATCGTGTTTATCTATGTGTTTGATAATTTTGTTCTTTACTATAGTTTCAACCAATTTGCCTAGTGCTGAAATTAGCCGGACTGTAATTGTTATGATTTTCCCTGGA